GCAGACTTCGGCCTCTTCAGGGATCTCCTTGATAGAGTACGATGAGATACAGCCCTGGAGGGAAGAGGGGCCCAAGAAAGCTGGCTAATGTTCAAGGATCACCTCCTTCCAGCTCAGGAGCGGTGCATCCCAACAAAGAGGGAGTCAGGCAGGAACACCAGGAGGCTGCATGGATGAACAAGGAGCTCCTGGACCAACTCAAACACAAAAAGGAAGCCTACAGAGGGTGGAAGCAAGGACAAGTGGTCTGGGAAGAATACAGAGAAATTGTCCAAGCAACCAGGGATCAGGTTAGGAAAGCTAAAGCCCTGATAGGATTAAATCTGGCCAGGGACATCAAGGGCAACAAGAAAGCTTCTATAGGTATGTCAGGGATAAAAGGAGGACTAGGGAAAACGTGAGTCCTCTCCAGAAGTAAATGAGAGACCTGGCTACCCGGGATATGGGGAAGGCTGAGGTTCTCAATGACTTTTTTGCTCCAGTCTTCACTGACAAGAGCTCCAGCTGCACAGCCCAAGTCACAGAAGGCAAAGGCAGGGACTGGGAGAAGGAAGAACCGCCCACTGTAGGAGAAGATCAGGTTCCAGGCCATCTGAGGAACACAAGGCTGCACAAGTCCACGGGATCTGATGAGATGTATCCACGGGTCCTGAGGCAACTGGCAGATGAAATTCCTAAATGATTATCCGTCATATTTGAGAAGTCATGGCAGTCTGGTGAAGTTCCCATTGAAAAGGGGATACATAGCCCCTCATCTTTAAAAGGGAAAAAAGAAGACCCAGGGAACTACAGGGCAGTCAGTCTCACCTCTGAGTCTGGCAAGATCATGGAGCAGATCCTCTTGGAAACTATGCTAAGGCACATGGGAAAAAAGGTGTTGATTAGTGACAGCCAGCATGGCTTCACTAAGGGCAAATTGTGCCTGACAAATCTGGTGACCTTCTACGATGGGGTTACAGCGTTGGTGGATAGGGGAAGAGCAACTGACATCATCTACCTGGACTTGCCCAGAGCATATGACATCCTTGTCTCTAAACTGGAGAGACATGGATTTGATGGATGGAACAGTTGGTCGAAAAGGAACTGGGCTGGATGGTTGCACTCAGAGTTGCAGTCAATGGCTAGCTGTCCAAGTAGAGACCAGTGACGAGTGGTGTTCCTCAGGGGTCAGTACTGGGACCAGTGCTATTTAACATCTTTGTTGGTGACATGGACAGTGGGATCGAGTGCACCCTCAGCACGTTTGCAGATGACACCAAGCTGTGTGGTGTTGTGGACACGCTGGAGGGAAGGGATGCCATCCAGAGGGACCTTGACAGGCTGGAGAGGTGGGCCTGTGAGAACCTCATGAAGTTCAACAAGTCCAAGTGCAAGGTCCTGCACATGGGTCAGGGCAATCCCAAGCACAAGTACAGGCTGGGTGGAGAATGGATGGAGAGCAGCCCTGAGGAGAAGGACTTGAGGGTGCTGGTTGATGAGAAGCTCAACATGAGCCGGCACCGTGCGCTGGCAGCCCAGAAAGCCAACTGTGTCCTGGGCTGCATCCAAAGAAGTGTGGACAGCAGGGCGAGGGAGGGGATTGTGTTCTATGATTCTATGATACATCTGGAACAGGAGGATTTAAATTCACTGATGGTGCAAACTCTGCAAGTAGCTGTGGGTGTAACTTAGTGAAGAAGTTCAGGACAGCACAGCTGTACCAACAGAAAGCAGAATATAAACCAATGTACTGGGCCGTCTCTGATTTTTTTTCCTGCTACAAAAGAAACATAACCACCCCCCCACTACTCTCCCACTTTACTCTATGGAAAGTATTGGCCTCAAATTACTTACCCCTCCAAATGCACCACCACCATCTGCTCCTGGCATCGATTCCACTGAGCTGGTGCTTGCTATCTGAGAGAAACAGAATGACACAGAACAATTTCAACACGGACATTCTTCCTAAAATATATCAAACACTGCAAAAGAAAACATGGCATCATTTGCTTTTAGCCCCTCAACTATTTGCTGGTGAGTTTGCTGTAATTGCACAGGCACTCAGCCACAAAGCAAGTGCTTTGTGTCGTCCGTGGATTCCGAGAAGGAAGAATATTTCCTCCATTCAAATAGTACTCGGTTAAGTTTTTCTTAATTGCAATACATCTGTTAATAAAGGTAAATTTTGTTATTTATTTATCATTAATAAATGCAAACTGGCATCTATATGTATTCAGTGCACTGTAAGTGAGGGCTTTTTGGTGTTTCTACAAACCTGCAAGGATGAGGTGTCATGCCAGCCAGGTGAGCCCTAGTTTCCTTTGACAGAAGCAGAAGTAATCAAGATCTGTCTTATGATTTTATAACTACAACCCACCTTTTCTTAGAAACTACAACGTAGAAAAATAAGTGTTTACTGTAAAACTTTGTCTTTAAAAAAATTAGAAAAAACCTTTATTGCCCAACTTGCCTGTTTCCTTCTAATGATATCAGCTGGACTTATAAATATGTAACCAATACATACAGAGGGCAAATAACAAGCTTATGGACACCAAAATCATAGGCTACATCCTAAAAGGAAAACCATATCATCTGTCATTCATTTACAGGGAGTCTGCAAGTTTACAGAAGGTTCTGCAGGAAATACAACTTAACTAAAGGGAAGCATCATGTACTCAACTCTGGCCAACTATTTCTGCCTCTGCAAAAACTCAGCAACCCTTGGCTCTTCGCATCATCTATTCCCCAGTCCTGTGGAAAGGGGTTTCTTTCCACTAGAATCCTAATTAACCCAGGTATTTAGATCCCTCTGCCTAGTAAAAGGACACGTGTGCTGTGACATGGGTCCTGGGAAAGGAAATGAAAAACGTGGAGAGAAAAAGGGGTTTGAAGAAATCGAGAAAACCTCCAGCAAGTTGAGGGAAAAGAGCACATTTCTCTAGCTGCCTGTTCAGATCCCCATGCCCTTTTAATATTTCTTTGGAATAACGTGCTAAAATATCAAATACCCTCTGCTCTTAACCTGGAAAAGATTTCAAAAGGGCTTCTCCCCTTCGTGTTACCACTACCACTGCGAGTAAGATTTAGTATGCAGGAGGACAGTTATTCACGTTTGTCAGAACTACCCCAGAGCTAGAGGAAGGAACAGAAACGAGGGTGGGAAATAATGATGATTTAACAGGATCTAAAAATCATGATTTAACTATCAGAAGCATTCCCAACTCTCAAACCTTAGAGATGCCACTTCTGCAGAGCTCAGCTCTCTGCGGCACTCTTCCTCGCACAACTGAGTCCTTCCCCTGCACCACGAGCCTCCAACTCTTCTGAGATGCAGCAGTGGAAAAAGAGGCCCTTTTCCTTGGGAACACTTTTAGATGGCTTTTAAAAAAACCTTCACATAGCCTTGAAATGCTGCAGATGAAAATGGAAAACAGGGAAACGAGTGTCCTCCCTCTGAAGGAACTAAGCCACAAGGGACCCTGAAGCTTTCTGAAAAGACTTCTTTAAAAGACCACTGCTGGAGTCACTCTGCAGGGGACCGACTGGCAATGGCTGAATATTGACCTCGTAACAGGTGGGAGTTATCACAGAATGGTTTGGGTTGGAAGGGACCTCAAAGATCATCTAGTCCCACCCCCCCTGCCATGGGCAGGGACACCCTCCACTACACCAGGTTGCTCAAAGCCTCATCCAGCCTGGCCTTGAACACTTCCAGGGATGGGGCAGCCACAGCTTCTCTGGGCAACCTGTTCCAGCGTTTCACCACCCTCATTGTAAAAAATTTCTTCCTTCTATCTAATCTAAATCTCCCCTCTTTCAGTTTAAAGCCATTGCCCCGTGTCCTGTCACTACACGCCCTTGTACAAAGCCCCTCTCCAGCTTTCCTGTAGCCCCTTTAGGTACTGGGAGGCTGCTAGAAGGTCTCCCCAGAGCCTTCTCTTCTCCAGGCTGAACAGCCCCAACTCTCTCAGCCTGTCTCCATAGCAGGGGTGCTCCAGCCCTTAGATCATCCTCATGGCCCTCCTCTGGACCTGCTCCAACAGCTCCATGTCCTTCTTGTGTTGGGGACCCCAGAGCTGAATGCAGCATTGCAGGGGGGGTCTCACGAGAGCAGAGCAGAGGGGCAGAATCACTCCCCTTGACCTGCTGCCCACGCTGCTTTGGGTGCAGCCCAGGACACGGCCGAGTTCATCAACCGCTGCAGATCACTGCACAGGCAAAACCTTAAGCATCAGGTCAAATGTCAGATCTCTGCACCTCCAAGAAAACGTAAGTCTTCTGCAGGCAAATTGCAGGCTGAAGATCAACCTTAAAGCTTGTATGAGCGTATGTAAGTCAGCAGGGAAAACAAAAGCCTGGTAAGAACTACGTGCAAAGGCACACGCTGGCCATGGAACTGAAAATAATCCTAAGCACTGTAACGTATCATGTGTGGCAAGGATGGGAGAAAAGCAATTTGGCTATTTTTCTACAGGCTTATTAGATCCAGAGTTCAACATCTAGTAGCTGTTAGAGATTCAGCCTGGAATCCATGAGTGCATATCTCTTTCTTGACTCATGAGAGTAAATAAAAGAAAGATTATTGTCATTTTCTCCTCTAACGCATGCTGCCCAGCATTCCATATAGATGATGAGAAATGTATGGTGGATGCTGCCTGCAGCAGCGTATTGCTACTAAGAATGCTCTCTGTATTTGTCCAGCTTTCCTTACAGAACTACCTTTAGCTCCTTTTAACTGACAGCAACTTCTGCAACACTTAGCCATGACATCAGTTTTCAAAGCCAATCATCTAGATAAACTAATCTCCTAAAAATACAGGTTAGCATTCCAGCATAAAAAAAAATTAAGGTGCCTACTGCATTAATATCACAGCCAGCAGACAAACCAGGCTTCTGCTCTACTTGACTTTCATGAACGTAGAGTATAAACACGTGGCTACACCATTGACACAGACATAAAATAAAATGGAATTTACAAAGCAAGATAATAATAATGAAGTTGAATAGACACTGTGTCTTAATCGGATAGAAAGAAGCCTGCTTATTAGCAAAAGGTTTTTTTCCATCAGAGCATCCTGGGTCTGAAGGCAGCCATGAATTAACTTAAAAATATGGGCATGAATGGATTATTTGCCCATTTTTTCCGAGTACTTTTAGGTGATGAATAGTTCATGGTCAGCAAGCTGTGCCATATTGTGAAAATGGCTCATTGCACGCTGCTATGAGCAACAGGACCCTAGACTCTGCAGAGGTTTGCAAAGACCTCCACTGTAAGTCTGATTAATGCTGGGATGAAAGGAGTACCTAACATCTCTCCTCAGCCCCCTGGGAAACCAGTCAGACAAAAATCGAGCACTATGGAGTCACTGAATCAGATCTGGGAAATGAAAGGTTTCAAAAATGGTTAGGTATCAACAAAAAAACTCAAAAACCCAAACCAAACCAAAACAAACCAAAAAGTTTAGGAAGGCAGGGAAGGGGGAAGATAAAAAGATCCCCAAGTTTCATCTCTGTTGATGGACCTTCCCTCCCTGTGCTCCAAGATCTACCGTGTTTGACCACTGACATAATCAACAAACAGGCAGGTCTGCACAAAATTCCTAAAAATTTCCCTCTCCCAGGCCCTGTCCTCTTTAGCTTGTAGGAAATGACTCTGGCTAAGGTTATCACCATCATTTTCAAGTCGAATGAAGAGCTATCATTATCATTCTCACATAAATGCTTCCAAAACAAAATTCCTAACAAACACAGCATAGAGTAATACGTTACAGTTGTAGAGAAACAGAATAAACTTTCCAGACTATTTTGCATATTTAGTTGAAGAGTATTCTTTCTGAAACGTATCTATTACCTATGAGACAATATTTAAAAAACCTTTTACAATGCATCAACTTCCTTTCAACTCTTTAAAACTTTTAAAATAACGCTAAAATAAGAAAAAAATAAATAAACCCAGAATGTGTCTCTGAGGACATGGGGAAAGGTAATGAACAAAACCTCCCAGGCACACAAGCATCATTCCAGACAGCCAACCACTCAGAGCATTGAGGAATGACACCTGTTATGCTAAAAGACCTGGAAAACATGACTGATGGGTCCCTTGCACTGAATTACCTGTCATAATTTATTCCATACCTGCATGGTAGAGTAACTATGTCTGATACACATTTGAGAGACAGAGAAATGGAGCTGACTGTACCGTAATCACAGAATGGTTTGGGTTGAAGGGACCTCAAAGATCATCCAGTTCCAACCCCCCTGCCATGGGCACGGACACCCTCCACTACACCAGGTTGCCCAAAGCCTCATCCAACCTGGCCTTGAACCCTTCCGGGGATGGGGCAGCCACAGCTTCTCTGGGCAACCTGTGCCAGTGCCTCACCACCCTCATTGTAAAAAATTTCTTCCTTAGATCTAATCTAAATCTGCCCTCTTGCAGTTCAAAGCCACTGCTTTAAACTGAAAACATTGCTTGTCCTGTGTGATGTCGTATGAAAACCAAGAACAAGAATACACTATTTTAAAGTTAGCTGCATAAGTTTAGGTTAATGTTGGCAAAACTGCTACCACACTATTTTAAAGTTAGCTGTGTAAGTTTAGGTTAATGTTGGCAAAACTGCTACAGTAGAGAAGGAGCATTAAGCACTCATACTTACTGAGGAATCAGGAAGATGCTCCTCCTCTTGAGAAAAAGAGCTATTGAAAGCTCTAAATGTCTCACTGTTCTGTTTGTGCTTTTCAATTGTTGCTTGAATGACCTGCGACAAAAATTCCAGCAAAGACGAGAAGCGTCACAAAAGGAGTCTTGGAAAAATTCTCTCATAGGAAGATGGTTAGGATTACCATTTTAGTGAAAAACCCTTACGCTTGCATAAATGAAAGGGAAACTCAAAAACCTCAGTAACTACGAGTTGTTGCGTTAACTCAAGACTGCCGTCAGCCAGCGGCTCTACAAGCCAGACTGCAAGGACATACAAGCTCATCTCTGATGCCTCAGTCCCTTCTCCCACGGGGCTTGAGGACAGCAGGAAACTGGAACCCACTCGAGGCCCCTGTACACTGCCTGGAGACGGCGGGTCAGCAGTGGGACCCTGACTGTGGCACCACGTTTCTCCATAAGCAGAAGGACTGGACTACCCAGCTTCCTCACACAGCCGCGTTCATGCAGAACCCCAAAAAGACAATTTGAAAAACAGAAGGTGCTGACTGCATGGTGATTTCCACCCATATGATAATGGTTTTGTATTAACCTGAATCCATTCCCTCTTCTCCTCTTCTGTTCTGTTAAAACAAAAGAAAATACAGAAAACATCGTAATTCTACTTCCTCTATTTTCAGTAAATTCAATTCACATCTTCACAGCTTTACATCCATCAAGATTTCAGCTTTGCTATCCACTGTTTTATAAGCATTATTAAAAATTAATGACCTCAACTATTACCAAACAAATGCCAAAAATGTTTGAATTATTAATCCTGTGGAATCTGCAAGTACTATTACAAACAGCATTCAGTAAAGCAAAGCAACGCAGGACTTTGACATACCCTGACTTAGGACCAACAAATTCTCTTGCATATGCAAGTTTGGCATCTCTAATGCTCATCTCCCGCTTCAAAGCTATGTCATACTAGTTCAGCCATATCCCCTACATCATAAATTTCTACCCAAACATTCACAAACCTCAAAAGACATAACAAGCACCGTACCTGGCTTGTAGTTCCAGTGATCTCTTTTTTCCTGTTATTGAAAATGTATGAGCCACGTTTTGCTTGGCAATTTCTTGGACCTGTAAAGAGAACTTGTCAGCTTCTTAATCGTACCTATCACCTTTCAATCATTTTTAATGACTTACAAATATATTCATTCTTTGAACTACTTAGTGGAAAGGATCACTCAGAATATGGTATGAGGTAGAAAAAAACCCAAAGGATTGTTTCCAGAATTACTCATCTTGCTACAAAACTTCTGAATCTGTATCACCAACCAGTCTGCCATAGCAGCAGGGGAGGTGACAAGGGAAGGCTTTCAGACAAAGCATTTTCTTACCCACCTTTGGATTATTACCTCATAATAATTAAAAAAAAAAAAAGAGAGATCCAAAGCTGGATTTTAGAATTCTTTTTATATTTCTACACGCATATATTGTTACATTTTTGGATTCTGACACCATCGAGTGGGGAAGTATTAAAAGGGGGGAAAAGAAGAGATGCAAACCTGCAGTCCTGCAATGTCCATCTTCTCTCGAACGCTGAACTTCTGCCCTATCAGCCTCAGCTTTGGCACACAGTACAGCACCATGCTGTTAAACTGCAACGAGGGGAGACGCTAAGTTAAGGAATCACGTGCTGGAGAGAGCCCGCGTTCTGAGTTTAGGACGCTGTTGGGTTTCCCTCTAAGATGGCTCTCAAGGAGAGATTTAAGGAGCAGCTAGGCACACGGATTATTCATAGAATCATAGAATGGTTAGGGCTGGAAGGGACCTTCAAAGGCCATCTAGTCCAACCCCCCTGCAAGGAACAGGGATATCTCCAACTAGATCAGGTTGCTCAGGGCCTCGTCCAACCTGGCCTTGAACGTCTCCAGGGATGGAGCATCCACCACCTCTCTGGGCAACCTGTGCCAGTGTTCTACAACTCTCATTCATTACTGGAAAGAAGTGGACAGACAGAAAGACATCAGCCAGCCACCTCCTGCTCCTCTCCCTCTCTCTGGTACCAGTTTGGCCACCCTGACAGCAAAGGAGAGCTACTCTCCAGTGCCAGCGAGAGCCGGTCGACACTGCGGTACGGCTGGAGACGCCTTCCCGGGCGCTCCCCAAAAACGCAGCCCGTGAGCAGGGAGCCGGGACACATCCCTTCGGGCCCGGCAAACCATCGGCAAAGGCACAAGCGTGGAAAAAGGAAGGAAACCCTCAAGGAAAAGGCATCAAGAGAAAACTTTTTGTATGTGAGATGAGGAAGATGGAAACGTACCGTTTCGCAGCACAACTCTGGACACGAGAGCAACGGAAAAACTCACCAGGAATAAATATCTGTCCTGTGCTGTGCCGTTCTTTGCTGAAAGTTTCTGAATGTGTCCTTCTTTAATGAGCTCATTGGCTGGGTTAACAATATCTTCTTCACCACCCAGTCGCTCATAGACTTCCAAAAGCTTGTGCATCTTTTCCTGCAAGTACAAAAACCCCCGCAATGTAAAAAAAAAAAATATTCCACTTGGTCTATTACCCACAGTATCATTTCTGTGGTAAAAGTAAACGAGTAGGAAAGAAAAGAGTTTTTCACTTTCACTACAGCTTTGCATTTTCAAAAATTAATACCTCTTCCATACTCCTCAGCACTTCCCCACTCTGTATTAGCCACGCAGGAGTCACACTTGGATTGTACCATTCTGATGATATTTCGAGATCGATCTATTTGATAGTTTTAGATATTCCTGTTCAACAATAAAAGCGCATCTTTGGAAGCAATGGCACCGGGTCCAGCAAAACCAATTGCCAAGTTGGAGACTAGTATGGCACCGAATCGTTTCCAAGTTTGAATTTACTAACTCAGCTTCCACCCCACATCTCAGACTAACGTTTCTGCTACAGTATGCTTGTTTCTCAGCTTCTGACAAGTTTCACCTCTTGTACTGGTGCTGACACAACGGCAAGCAGGTCTCCATCAGGAGGCATGGTCATATTCCGCATTTCTAAGCTAAGGCTAAAACCTCAGCTGTACATGGAATGCTGCAGTTCTACACAGGGGCCTCCACCTCTGAAACAGGCCAGGGCAAAATGCTTAAAATACAGTTGTATTGTCATTCAGGCATCCTTATGTCTTTGTCAAAATTCCTTATGAAGGGATTACTTTTTATTTTTCAGCAAAGCACTATTTCTACTTTCCATTAAGTCATCCAAATATTAGAGTCCCTCTCCATAGTATTCAAATGGATAAAGGTACCTCGTTCACCCACTCGCAGCTGCTGTATTAAGCACTGCAGCAGCTTTAACAAGTCAAAATAAGAAAGATGTGCAAATCCTGCTACGGAGTTATAGCATTTGGAAAGGTTTGGCTTCCAACCGCCAGCTGGACTGATGTGCTCCAAATGGCACCAGTAGCAAACGGCCAGAAAGTGAGGACAGAGACCAGTTACACCCACATATATGCCCAAACACATCTCTAAATCCTATCTCTACCTATCTGGAGATCAAGCCAGAATTTCAGTTCTTTACACACTTTGTTCACTGCCATTTGACTTGAGAATTTTCACCACAAATATACATCACACCAGTTCCTGTACTAATCAATTCTTCTGACCAACAAACAAACAAACGCACAACTGAAAAACTCCACCAAAAAAAACCCAAACAAAACCAAATTGTCAAAATAAACACTGTGGACTAAAGCCACAGTGGCTGTGGACTAAAAATAAATCAGCAAATCACCTAAGACCCAAAAGGCAGTAGATTTTTTTTGACCACATGGGAAGATGAGCAAGAGATCCCACCAATTTAAAAACAAACAAAAACCAGAGAACTTATCAAGCTATTTTTTTTAAGGAGAAACTAGAACACTAAAAGCAGACCCGAAACCTGAAGGACATCTGCACTGTAGGAAAAGTCAGCTGTGGAAGCATGATTTATTTCTTCTACTACACCCCAACAGGAGGAAGCAGCCAAGAACAAATACAAACCTCCACTAACTTTCGGAGATTTTGCTACAGCCCTTGCTCCCCACCAGCCCTCACCGACTGCCCCCGCACACCCACGGCACCCTCTGCTGCGACACGTGAGTTGGGAAAACACGAGGTCAAACCTGAAATTCTTGGATTTTTTTCCTTTGAGTCTTTGCTCAGGCAAAACTTATTAATTACAGGAGAATTCAATGCAGTAAGAAGCCCTAATTAGAGGCTTCAGGTTCTTATCAGCAACAAACAGGGGGTGACAAATTATTATAGCAGCCTTTTCTAACAGATTTTTGTGTACGAACAGCAAAAGCATCCAATACTGACAGCAACTACCTGGTGGCTTCATACTACTGCTGCCTGTGGAGACACTGCACACAGTCCCCAGCAAAATAGTTGTCCTCGACCACAAAGCAGAGAAATTGCCACTGAAATAAAAGCTTATCAAGAGAACATGCTATAACCAAACAGAAATAGACGGTTTCACAACTGGTTTTCACTAAGACATACTGGAAATACACAGACACCAGCTGGCTACTTCCCCACAGCAGCCACAGGAAACGTGGTCTCACAGTGCTCCTGCCGTCCGGGAGAAGGAAGCCAGGGTCTGATAGGGAAGGGGACACAAACCTCGTACCCACAAATGGCCCGTGCGTGTTAAGCCCGATACGTAACATTTCAGATCGATGGGATTTACAAGCTTCTGAGGCACCTGTGTGCACAAAAGGGGTAACACCTGTAACAATATGGTCCATTTACTCTAATGGCAATGCACCAGCTGTCCTGTGTGTAAAACACGTGCTAATGTTCAAAACCACCATGGTTTTAGAGTGCCCAGCTTCAGAAGTTTAGCTTGCCAAAGCTAATGACACATGCTAAATGCACACTCTGTGCCAAAATCAAACCAAAACAACCTCCAGTCTGGTGAAGACCTATACGACTGAAAAAATAGCATGAAAATCTGCAAAGACACCTTATGAATGGACCTAATTGGAGTCCTCGCAACATTTTTCAATGAAAAGCAAACAATGAGTTTTATGAAGACCTCCATTTTCAACCCATTTGGTCCTCAAGAACACAGAAATTGAAATTTAGTTCCAACAACCCATGGTAAATGCAATAGGATCATTTATCACAGAATCATAGCATGGTTTGGGTTGAAGGGACCTCAAAGATCATCCAGTTCCAACCCCCCTGCCATGGGCAGGGACACCCTCCACTACACCAGGTTGCTCAAAGCCCCATCCAACCTGGCCTTGAACACTGCCAGGGATGGGGCAGCCACAACTTCTCTGGGCAACCTGTGCCAGTGTTTCACCATTCTCATTGTAAAAAATTTCTTCCTTATATCTAATCTAAATCTCCCCTCTTTCAGTTTAAATTCATTGCCCCGTGTCCTGTCACTATATACCCTTGTAAAAAGTCCTCTCCAGCTTTCCTGTAGGCCCTTTAGGTACTGGGAGGCTGCTGGAAGGTCTCCTTGGAGCCTGCTCTTCTCCAGGATGAACACCCCCAACTCTCTCAGCCTGTCTCCATAGCAGAGGTGCTCCAGCCCTCGGACCATCTTCGCAGCCTCCTCTGGACTTGTTCCAGTAGCTCTATGTCCTTCTTGTGCTGGGGACTCCAGAGCTGAACACAGTATTCCAGGTGGGGTCTCAGGAGAGCAGAGCAGAGGGGCAGAATCCCCTCCCTCAACCTGCTGCCCACGCTGCTTTGGGTGCAGCCCAGGACACGGTTGGCTTTCTGGGCTGCCAGCACATGGTGCCGGCTCATGGTGAGCCTCTCATCCACCCAAGTCCTTCTCTCCTCAGGGCTGCTCTCAATCCATTCTCCGCCCAGCCTGTACTGGTGCTTGTACTTATGATAAAGAGAACTGAGACATCCAACTGATGTTTAGAGCGTGACTCACTGTATTTGACAATTCCCCCCCGCCTACTTTACTGAGCCCAGTACAAGGGGCACCGTTGCTTCAGCCAAGCGTTTCCGTCACGTTGGGACGCCGTTCCGCAATTCCTACTCACCATCTTGCGGATGGCTGCATTCGAATGGTTCGCCGCCGTAGATATGAGCTCCAGTGACTCTGCAATACAGGTAGCAACAGTTATGCATTCTCCAGGCTAGAGCTGTTAATAGCACCCTGGGGTTTTTCTTCACCTCCCTGATTAGTGCTTTTCCTGCAAAATTGCTCTTGCAAAAGCAAGGACTGTATTTTTCCCTTCCATAAAGTAAAAGGAACGCTTGTAAGCAGTTACATACACAATAACTTCTGCATGTTCAGCTGGTCCATATGCATCTAAATGTTTAACCCTTCTCTCCTAAAAGTCTAGGCGAGCCAAAGCACATAGTGACAAAAAAAAATCACCTTCTAGGAACGAACCTATTAAAAGTTAACTTCAGTCTCACTTAAGTCTTCACAAGCACGTTTTTGAGTGCTTTCCTAAAACAGGGCTTTTGTGCTTCCAGTAACATGAACCCTGTTGTGGTCAAAATCACAAACTCCTAGAAACCAAGAGAAACCCATTTCTCCTGTTCCTTTGTGTTAACAGAGTCTAACCTGCCTTCCCTAGCAGGCTAAGACCATTCCTATTTTCTCCGTCTGGCTATTGCAAGGATGTCCTCCTGAATTTGTCCTTGGCCATACAATGGGTTAAACAAAAACGCCAGATGTTCTGCCATTACAAACCTCAATATTTTGTCATTGCTTATTTGCCAAAGCTCCCTTCAATCCTAGAGCTGACATATCAACCCTTTTCTTCTTTACTCTAAGAGCATTCAAAATTGCTTTGTGCTACATTTGGCAATAATTTGATTAATTCAAATCTCCGTTTCTACTAAAGCCCTAGTTGAAAGCATCTGAACACATAAAGAAAAAACTTTCCAAGATTTTATTGTGCTCATTAGACAGAGAGGAGTTTACATGTACTTTCAGCATCTTTTCTGTCTAGAGACTCTTCTGGAAGTTTCTTCAAATAGTCCTTTAGGAGAAGCTCATAACGAGGAATCCTTTGCACTGGTTCAAGCATGTGATGCTGTAACGTCAGGTTTCCACACACCTCCTGCTTCTGTAACAGAGAGAAAACAAGCACAGAAGGGTTTGGTTTTGTTCCTGCCTTTGGTGGTAAAGAGCAATGAAAAATGAACATTTAGATGAGTTAGAGGAACGTATAACAGCTTTTCAAGCTATCATAGAATTGTTTGCGTTGGAAAAAATCCTTAAGATCATCGAGTCCAACGTTAACTTAGTATTGCCAAGTCCACCACTAAACCATGTCCCTCAGCACCACATCTACACATCTACTGCCCAGGGATGGTGACTCCACCACTTCCCTGGGCAGCCTGTTCCAATGCTCGACAACCCTTTCAGTGAAGAAATTTTTCCTAATATCCAATCTAAATCTCCCCTGGTGCAACTTGAGGCCATTTCCTCTTGTCTTACCATTTGTTACTTGAGGGAAGAGCCTGACCCCCACCTCGCTACAGTGTTCTTTCAGGGAATTGTAGGGAGTGATAAGGTCTCCCCTCAGCCTCCTTTTCTCCAGACTAAACAACCCCAGTTCCCTCAGCTGCTCCTTATGAGACTTGTGCTCCAGACCCTTCACCAGCTTTGCTGCCCTTCTTTGGACATGCTCCAGCATCTCCATGTCTTTCTTGTCGTGAGGCGCCCAAAACTGAGCACAGGATTCGCGGTGGATTCAGCCTCACCAGTGTCAAGAACAGGGGTACAATCACTTCCCTAGTCCTGCTGGCCACACTATTGCTGATACAGGCCAGGATGCCGTTGGCCTTCTTGGCCACCTGGGCACACTGCTGGCTCATATTCAGCCATCTACTGACCAACACCTCCAGGTCCTTTTCTCCTGGGCAACTTTCCAGCCACTCTTCCCCAAGCCTGTAGCTTGGCATGGGGTTGTTGTGACCCAAGCGCAGGACCCAGCACTGAGTCTTGCTGAACCTCATAGAACTGGTGTTGGCCCATCCATCAGCCTGTCCAGATCCCTCTGCAGAGCCTTCCTACTCTCAAGCAGATATCAGAGCTGACAGGTTTCACAGGAACCTTTGCCCATGTCTGGCATTTTCTGCAGATACACAGCAATCTTCTTTTAGATTTTGCATGTTTCTTCACAGGCTCAGAAAAGCTCTTCCCACCCATGGCCCTACGCAGCGTTTTCCTCCCAAAGATCACATAAAATCAGAAATCCCACGGGGATATACTGCTTGCTAGAGCTTACTGTACGAGCAGCAGATACACTGCTCGCCACCTTTGAAGAAGGAGCTGCCTCAAATTCTCTTTCTTTCCACTTGACCACAAACACACACACGCACAGCGCGCGTGCGCACGCTCTTCTCCATAGCATTCCTTCCATGCCAGCTCACTAATGCCATGTCTTGGTCTGTTCAAGTGTAAGCATCCCCTCAACAACTACACAAATTTCAGTATGCTTTTCCCACAGAAAGGCACTCGTTTCACCTATTTGCAATTTTCCTCATAAATACCACAGCCCTCGACACACTGCTGACTCAGCTGATTCTCACAGCAAAGCCTGGAGATAATGGGATGAATGTCTGATAGAACAATATTAGCTATCCTTCCAGAAATTCAAAGATGTAAATTTGCTTTTAAAAATACTTTGTCACAGTGTAACAGAGCGAACAATATTTCTGTTTATAGGAGATGAAATGAATTCATTAACTCTCAGAGTTTTACAGCACCACGTTTCCCAGAAAATACAACAGGGATGGAAAGAATCAGAGATTTCAGGCAGCACTAAACAGGACACAGAACTGCACTACTGTGTATTTGCTCTTGGTTTATATTCCCAAATCCATTTACTATAACCTTCTCCATTGTCTTTTTATTCCTGCAACAGGATGAACCTTAACACTGAACAGCAATAGGGAAGCAGAGCAGGAAGTCACTTCAAGGCTCATGTCAGCTGTATTCCTCTCTAAATGTCAGCACTGACAAAATAAACTGTTTCACATAAGGAAAGTTTAATGGTACGCAATTTTTAAAAGTTTACAGAGTTTACACTGCAATTCAAATGACTTTACTGGAGGAACGATAAATGTTTATTCTGTGTTTAATTCATGTGAAAATTCAAAACACAGAAATATATATTAAAAAGTACTCGTGATGGCATAAGGAGCAAGTTGACAAAAGAAAAGTCCCAATAAACTCCCCAGCTATCAAGTTTTGGCCCCAGTATCTTCAAGGTCAGCTCAAGTAAACTTGATAAGTCACAGTCATTCCCTGATAAGTACCGTGTGATTTCTGTTTTCCCCACTTTAGCATAATTAATATTGTTAATGCCTTAAGCTGTGTAGCTATTCCATTAACAGCTTAGGTGGATGGTGCATTACTGCAGGATCACACCAGACTTCAACCGGTATTTTGAAAAGTAACTGTGGCTTTTGATGGCGCAGAGATAGGTCAGATGAGTGGACCAAGCGTTCTAGATCAAATCTTTGCCTCCTACAGCTATAGAAGCAAAAAGTGCTGTGACATTGCAACTAAAACACCCTACAGCGAAATGCTGTCATCAGTAGGCTTCAGAATGGCATCTCCTACACGCATTGCCTGTGTTCATACCACCTGGCCAAGTTCTGCTCCAACACCAGCAGAAACACTCACGGTCTGGGACAGCTGCAGAGCAGTTCTGCAGACTGGTGGCTAACACAAATGCTTTGTGTTGGCAGCTCTGTGGCGAGAAGAGACAGACAAACTTGGGGCAGACAGATGCCTATGCTGCAGGGAAAACAAACGGATTTACACCGCAGAACGCCGGCGTGGCACGAACTGAAGGCAGCGAAACGCCTGTGCGCTCCGTTTTCCAGCGCTTGCTGCGCGGAATCTCCCCGAGAGCAGGCTGGGTTCCGACAGAAAAAGGTTAAGAGAAGGCCACGTGGAGCAAAGCCCTGGCAGGAGAGGACCTTCCCCAGCTCCTGCTCCTCCAGGCTCCTCTCTGAGTCAGGCAGCCCCGACCCTCTGCGCAGGGCCCCTCCTCTCCCAGCTTGCTGGGGGATTACTTGATTCCCGACAGCTGGCCCAGCCACAATCCTCCCATTCAGGGCAGGCAGCTGTGCTCCCTCCTCAACTTAACCCCCTCCCTGCCAGCCCTCCCTTCCCAAAGGATGCTCTCTGCTTTCCCAGCACGATGCTTGCAAGTGTGCCTGCTGCATCCCTTCGGCTGGCCCAAGGCTGTGGGGGAGAGAGGTTTTACGGATACGCCAGCGTAAGCAGAACTCTTCCCCTCTCCCCACACAGCTTTTTGTGTAATTAAGAGAAAACACATGTCCCTTCCAATCCCTGACATTCTGTGACTCTGTGAAAATCCCCACCAAGCACCCTCCTGCAGAGCTGCATGTCAGCTCATGAGCCTGGCAAAAACCAGACCGACAGCGGGTGCTGCCAGTGACGTGCCCAAACTCAGACACACCCACCTCGGAATGAAAAAGTATTTAGTAAAAAGCAATTAAAACTAGTAATGAGGAAGAGAGATCAAAAAGGGTTTATAAATGGGCACGTTCGCAGCCAGAATCGCCAGGCCAACAGCGAGGTGTCGCTCTGTGACTTCTGATACTTTCAAGCCGTATTGTGCCAATTAGCAACATACCTGTATGTTCTGAACAACATCTTTGAACGGAGAGGACCTCTGCATACATGTGTTCACCATGTCCATTGCCCTGTCGAAGTTCTTTACGTATTCTCCATACATCTTCAGAAAAGGAGCCAGTTTCTGTAGGATATCTCCTAGCCGTGGGTTGACGCTCCTACGGGAAAGAGACAGGCAAGTGCTGAAATCTCTGGAAATCGCTACGATCTTCAGGGAGAAAACACAACTGCAAGACTCTCACACGCACAAGCACTTACACAAATCTAGATATTTCAGGCTAAGTTTAGTTTAATCTATACAGTACCCTAGATGAGACCTTAAACACTAATGCAGACGTGCGAAGGACGATATTTCTGCCCCCATTGTCACTCCCTTCAGTGAAGATCGGATTCACGCTGACTCCACATTGTTGACGAAACACTTACATAGCTCTGCTGTCCAGCACAAAATCTTGTGGGAAACTTTTGATTTTTAAAAATCACCTTTTCCACTATAGTCAAACATCTGAAGAGGTTTTAATGCCAAGAGATGGCTCAGTTCAGCTGGGCAGTCCCAGGGGGGCAGAGACACGTTCACCTCGAGACCCCCCAGACTGGGAGCCGCAGTAGCCACACGTCTTGGTCTCCTCCAAACTGATGGCCAGGCAGAGCACCAGCCGTTTCTCCCCCGGCTTTTCTGTCCCACTGAACTCCTGACTCTGCAGTCTGACCACACTAGACCCTCGTCAGCCATTTAACAAGCTTCTGCTCTCTTCTGACTTCCAAACTCTCCAGTTTTCCTTCCCTTTTATTACAGCTGCCCCTGTGAATGCAAGTCAGGTGCAAAGGTGCTGAGACTCATTTATTTCTTCTGGTCATTGATGAACTATGTGAAGACTGGGCCAAGCCAAGACAGATGTGAACTCTGGTCTTGTCTTCATCGGTTAGGGCACTCGGAAAGGTGCAGGGTCAGCTCCATCTGCACCTTCCATTGCAGGATACGCTTTGCAGCCAGTGGGTCATCTCAAATGGAGTTTCCCAGATGTGCCTTACAATTAACCTTTTTACCCAGCACTGCATTTCTGCATCACTGAAAACTTATTACAGTTGCTAACTTTAATTGGTATTTGACCATTATTACTCATCAAAAAAATAAAACCAACCCACATCTATTTTCTTAAAGAAAGTACATATACACTGTAACAAATAATATTTATTATCTTCTAGAACAGAACACCAACAAATTCTGGGGTAAAAACTTCTGCAACATTGTGGTCTTCAGCAAAAGAAGTGGTTGCATAACAGACATAAGCAGATTTATAGATATGAAGTCATCTGTCTTATTCATCCAGATTTTCCATCAGTTTGCTGCTATAATGCTAATTTTAACATTAAATTAAATTTCATATAACCATAACAAAATTCAACAAAGAAAATACAAAATGGATGTTTCTCATGAAGTCTCCAACATGGCATGTAAAGTCTAGACCGAGACATGATGTTTTATTTTCCTTCTTTGAGAAGGAATTTTTTTAATACATTACAGTGGGGCCAAAATACTTCATCCAGGGGGCCAAAATTAGCAATTTCCTTCCTTCCTAGTATGGCAATTTCACAGTACTGCAATAATAGGAGAGTGGAAATACAGTAAGGAAAACATCTCAGGCAATACTCGAAAAAATTCTCAGTGTATTCTAGAAATTTTGGGTGCTCGGGTCTATTCCTGTATTCAGAAACGCTTAAGAGACTCCATACTAACGTATTAAATCACAAGTGCATCAAACAATTCAAAACTTTGGAATTAGATCAGGCCTTATGGTTGCTACAGTTTCTTGAAAGCATATTTTTGAAATAACTGTAATGACAGTTACCCACCATTCTTGTGTAATTCTTGTTTTGAGCTCAGGAAGAAGAAATTGTCCATGGAAACAATAGATGGAAGAAATATTTGAAAAGATGCCCGTTATCACTTCAGATGAAATACCTGCTTCTGACAACTTAGTGCAAAAAACCTGCATGAGACAACAAGACAGGACCACCATATATTTACAAAAAACAATGCTAGACACGCTGGCTTTAGATTGCAATATTACAAAGTTGGCTGCCTTAGAACAGAGCTGCAATTTTTGCCTTCTGATAGTCAGCCCTTGGGGTCATTTGGGAGGTTCACAAAATGTAAGCCCACCCTCAGTTCTGGTTAGATTTATCACTATGGGCCATAAAGGTAAATCAGAAATAACTCAGGGGTAAGTCGAAAAAGATTGAGACTACTGAGAAGATCAGACATCTCGTATTTGGGAGTTGCAAAAGAACAACCAGTCCCTGAAGAGCACTTACTCCTATTCACATGAAGCAAAAAAACCCACGTGATTATTTTGTTTCTCTGTGGGAAAAATTACACTGTACTGAACAAAAGGGAAAGACGTTCCGTAGATTTCTAAGGTTTAGAAACAGTCCCTACTCATCCAAAGCAAACATCAGAAAGTCTTCCATAGAGGTCCTACAGTTGGAGGGTAGAGGGTTCTGCAAGTTACAGCCTCTAACAAGACTTCTAGCAAGGTGACAATTTTCTTTTATTTTTCCCCCCTCTCATTTTTAAAAAGCTCTTGGTTAGCAATGTGATTTATCCTCATTTTTGCTTCTTTCCTGCACATTCATGTTGGGTTTTTTTTCCTTCGAGATAATTATAGAAATGCCTGAACCGCGCAGACTCACTTTGATGTTACGCGGAAGTTCAGACTCATCTCACCAGTCTTCCTTTATCCCCACGTGTAAACATGATGGACAACAATTACGAAAGACAGTGGGTAAAAAACCCAATCTGCTGTGAGCACGGGGCTCACTCATGTCGCCTTCAGCAAAACTCAGCACATTACAGAGCCATCACGGATTTCATCACTTCTTCGGGCCTCTGTGTCCCTCTCATTTCCTCTCTACGTACGCGCAGGGAGGAACCAAATGCTGATGGTGTCTGTATTTGGGGCTGCTGCTTTCCCATTCCTCTTTCTGACATCCTCACCCTCGGGTTCCAGCTCAGGGAACCCACTTGCCAAAAGCCCACCTCTGGCACCCACGGCACGCAGCCTGGCAAGCCGGCTCCACCTCCCACCTACGGACAGCGTTCTCACACCACCGGGCTGTAAGTCAGGGCACGAAGAGCAGCCATCGTTGCTGCTCGTGGAAAAGAAAGCAGAGTTTATTCCAAACTGAATTACCTGGTCCAACAGATGGAGTCTTTTAACATACGCTTCCTCCGTATGCAGCAGTTCGTTTGCGATGTTGAATAGCTTTTGGGGCTCTGTACACTGAAAAAAAAGTTACAAATAACACAATCCATCTGCACCAACAAAACCAAGTTTCATCAACTGTTGTTTTTTTCCATTTGCTCAATGGACCAAATTCCCTGCCAGCAGAGAAGCCTGAAAGGAGGTTAACACGTTTCAGAATCCGCTCCGCATCCCTCATCAAAAGATCAGTTTGCTCCAGAGACGTTTTTAAAGCTCTTTGCTGAAAGTGTGATCAGTAACGCAGCCCACGGCTGGTCAGCACATCACTTCACTTCGCTACAGTTTTCTGTAAAGAACCAGAAACATCCTTCAAATTTGGAAATATGTGGTAACTAGAGCACTAGACTGTAAATCAACTGTTCTCCTTTTTGGATTCAGGTCCTGTGACTAAAAAGAAAACTAGACACCAGCCCTTTCTGGCCACAGATCTCCCTCCCTGGCCAGCACAGCATTACTCTCTACGGCAGATTTCTAAGGTTTTTGTGCAGCTTTAAACACTGGCCAATTCCCTGGAAAGAATTTTCGACAAGGTAACCCAAGTCACTCAGTGAAGTCTTTCATTATACTCATTTAAAAAAATAAAATGAGGAAGGACTAATTAAAAAACTTGATTGCAGTTAGGAAGCACCGACTTTATTCCCAGTTTAGCCAAAGCTACATAGACACTTTGCTCCCTAAGTGCTTAAAAATACTTGAATTATTAGGATACAGGCTTTATCCTTCTGACAAACTCTGGATACCTTTCTAAGGGTTTACACTTTAAACGCCATGTTTACACACAACCCAACCAAAACCAGGGTCCAGAACTGAGGGCTGGCTGGTTTCTGTTCGGGAATACAAACATTCAAAAGGGGCAACGAGGATGACCAGATGTGGGGAAATTTTGCTGGGGTACATCTGGAAAGAAAAGACAACTGTGATGACTGTAAGAAAGATGTATAAATGAGTAACAGAACAGAGCACCAGCTGAGTGTACTTATTCACTATTTCTTCCATGGGAAAACTAAAGAGCATCAAATACAATTACTGAGGTGCTGCTTCAACACCAAGAGCCACTTCCTCAAGCACCATGTCACCGCAGATGATAAACCTTCACGCGGGTTCACAGAAGGACCAGACAAATCCATGGAGTAAAAGTCCAGCTGAAGTCTATGAAACACACAGGGCTGTTTCTAGTTCAGGAAGCACCTGGGTCCCCCACCACCAGCAGCACTTTCCATCCCAAATGTCTCCCTCTGCGTACTCGCTAGCATTTGTGGCAAGTGTTTCTAGACATCTCTCTGCTGGCCACCATCAGACTGTTAGAAAATTAAATTGAATGTTCTCTTTAAGCTTATTCAAAATCCTCTTGTTTGGTTTCTAAACAAAGTTGACAAGAAACATTTAAATAACTCCCCCTCCCACTAAGTTTAGGCAAACTGCAGCACAACTGAAAGACCTCAAAGACTTTTCAAGGCGAGCCAGGAATTCAAACAAACCAGACCCACACTTGTCCTATGTGAAATGAGGTATCAGCGTGAAGAACCCACATTTCTGTGATAAAAGTATTAATTGAAGGGAAGCAAATGGCTTTTCTGGATTTGAAACAGCACCAGTCTTCCTTTAAAACAATCCCCCTCTTTCCCAGCACAAACCTGGAGCTGGGCAATGACTCCATGAGTAAAGCTTTGACACATACTCGGCCTACCCCACTACTCAAATTATTTCAAGCAAACTCAAATATTCTTTTTAAGCTATTCTAACACGCTACACAACATCCTGCTCCATTCATTCATGTGATATATATTAGTATTTAGGGGAAAAGGGGAAAAAAAAATCACAGCACAACAAAGCTTTGAACTTGTTACCAGGAAATACCACATATTACAGAACATAACGAAATCCATCGCTGGCCGTCCAAATCCCAATAACCACGAGGATCTCTCACTGAGAAAGAATCTATTTGCCAGTTTTGCTGGGCACAGAGAAGCACCCAAATGAAAGGCACTGACGTAACCTGGCCAGCCCGCCAGCGCCAAGAGCATCCTTTGACTTGTTTGAATTCAGAATTTGAAAAATGATTATTTCCAACCAAATACCTTTGTTCTCAGAAGTAAATCTTTACATAGCACAGTCACTTTTTAACCTCCTGACCTTCACCATCTGCAACTCACTTTATATTTCCAAAAAACTTGCTGACATCTGCTGAAATACCAAACAACGGCGGAACAGACTCTCGGCTTGAGCTCAGTTTTAAAAAGTCACTCTATTTTCAGTTGCTGTCTCTGCTAGTGGCAGAGGGAGGCACATTTTTCAGACTAATTTGCAACACATTTGCCTTTCTGTGGACAGAATGTTTTAAATGAAATAGCAGATTAACTAAACGTGAGGCAGTCCCATCCTTCTAAACTTACTTTGTGCCACGGCACGAGTTCACTATGAATGAGATTATTTCACGGTCTATGGTTCTAAAGGAAAACTAAACCAAATCAAATGTGGATTATAGTCCTTACAAAACAGCCTTTTTTAAGTCTTTAAGTCACACCAGTGAAGCATATTTAACCTTACTAACAAAGCTCTGGAAAAACAGTGTGCCATTCACGAGGCACATAAATGACACAGAAATGTAAAATATTTGCGTAGTAGCTGGCGAGGTGATGAGAAAGATGAGAAAAAGGAAGCGGTAGGTGTTGACTTCATGACACAGGAAGCTCACTCCAGTGCTCGAAGCAGCAGTCGCACGATGCTCTTTCACTTCCTTGCAGAAGGTTCAAAAATTCATTTCCAGCTTTAACTGTCCATAAAACATTTTAAAGAAAAAGGAAGCGCCAGCCTGAAAACAAACAGAACCAGCTTCTTACAAAGGTCAGATTCATGCCTGCGGTGGGAATATGTTCACACCTCAAATACCCCAGTGCCAGATACAAACTGGGGAATGGCAGATGCTGAGCTGATTTGTGTTAAGTGCGTGCCCAGGAGCTCATCACTGCTTCCTGCAGACCCGCTCCCGCCGCCCCCCAAGCACACCTGGGCTACGGACTCATGGACGCAAAGGCTGACCTATCCTGAAAAGCAAATTTGAAATGAAAATTTAAAGTAAAAAACAAAGGCTTGATAAGAGAAAACTTGGGCAATACTCTGCAGCAACTGTTTTTGATCCAGCTGGTTGTGCACAATCAGTTACCGTTTCTATCACAAGAGGCTTTCAGTAAATCTTGCAAGAAAGATGCCGGGATATGGTTTAGGTTAAAATCATATACAGTTTGCTTTAAAACTCCACCAGTCACCCCTACAAAGAATGCAGAAAGTCCCAAAAAGATTATAGACAACTTCCTACTCAAAAATGCTGAAAACAATATGGAAAAGCTATTCTATGCTTGGTCTTCTTTGTTGTATTGAGATCTCATTTTCATTAAGGTACTCAAAAAAAAAACCCAACCAAATGATGATGAGAACATACCTTATTTTTCTTAACCAGCATTATGACTAAAACATTGACCTATGCAATTTTTTTCAGAATATACATGAGGATAATCTTACTCAAAGGTCTGGCTTGCAAGACTGCAGGCCAAATTTTCCAACACAAGCTGTACGATGAAATCAGAAGTGAAATTCCAGCTACGTACAGGCAGAATGGAAGTGTGTGTCAGTGACTGTATGAGGCCCACGTGGGACTTCATTATTACTATTTTACCCAGCAGGAAGCAGGACAGATGGAGAAAGGCAGTTTTTTGGTGATTACTAACGAGCACATACTACTCTTCGTGAAAAATATCTAAATAAAAAGATTTGAAGAAGTGTTAGCCATCTCAGAAGCATTACTCCATTGCTCCTAGGCAGGCAGCAAAAGCCTTGGGTATATGACTACAGAGCATGACAGCCCCTCACTCTCACTTTTATGTCCTCTCTTTTTTTTGTAACCATCAAGGCTAACATGCCTCAGTTCTTGGAGCTCCTGACATTTTCTGAGCCATTATCAAAACTAATAAGCTCCCCTTGTTCATTTTCACTTTGAGAAAAGATAACTGGAAATCCCAGTAAGTCACTCCTGATATTTTAAAACATATTCCAATAATTGTGTGCTAGTAGTGAGATCCTTGCCGACTCCCAAAGGAAACCACATCACACCGCAGAGCTAAACCTAGACTACATAGAACAATACAAGTCATGTATCAGGCAACGCTACTTCGCTAGCCATGAAATGTGTGAAAGCTCGGGTGGGGGATGAAGAGATATGGGAAGCAGAAAACAGAGAAGAAAAAAGGAAATATGATTTTTTTTCTCCCTACTTATGTTTATTCATGAGTTTCACTTAACTTGATATCCTCGGAGTTCCTGAGCCATCATTAAATCATTCTTACGCATCCTGCTCCAACTATAACAAAGCTTTCTGGAAACTTGCATATTTAATGAGAGTGCTGGTCACCTCTGTGGTGCAGCTGCAGGGCCTGGTACTGGGGGTAGGAAGGGGGAAACAGGAAAAGATGCTGGCTCCAGGGACAAAGCTTGCCAGAGGAGCCGGGGTCTCCCCAGCTCTCATGCCAGCAGCTGCTGCCAACCAAACCCTCCCTCCTTCCTCCCAGCGGAGCAGGTATCTTGTTTTCTGGCAAATTAACAGTTTTGTCAAGGGTGATGTGAACTTCCAGGCCAAGAATCACCGCTGAGCAAGTCCATTTGGGATCACACTGCCCCTCCTCGCTGGCAGCCACGGCCCTTCGCCCCAACCCTTAGTTCACAGTGCCTCAAACCTGCTGCACACTCAAACTGGGAGAGTGGGAGGAGGATGTGGACACCCAACACGCAAATTGGCTTCACATGCCACATCCCTGGAAGAGGGCACAATCCTTACGCTGCAGAAAAGGCAGCAAATCCCTATGTCTTCCCCCTCCACGTGGCTGCAAAACCAAGGTAACTTAGCATAGCTTGGTCAGTGCCAAAAATGCCTTTCTGAAGGTGAAACCAACTCAAAATGCAAGGGAGAACCTGAAGTGCATCTCATAAACGCACTTCAGGAAGAAGACCAGCACAAGAAAACAAACAAAAAATCTTCCTCTAGAGATCTCTCTCTTTTATGACTTCACCAAGCATGTCACAGAGAAGCATGACCTTATAACTCTATGTTTTAATCAGTGTTGTTTCATCTTATATGGATACTTAACCTAAGGAACAAGAATTAAAAAACAGCCATCAAAACTCTGATGTCTGCTCACAGAGAAGCATGACCTTATAACTCGATGTTTTAATCAATGTTATTTCATCCTATATGGATACTTAACCTAAGGAACAAGACTTAAAAAACAGCCATCAAAACTCTGATGTCTGATAAAACGTTGGTATTTGCAGGAAAACACTTATTAATCACACAGTAAAGCCTCCCACTTGGGTTTGCCACAACATTCCTAGTCCAAACAGTATATTTAATTACCAGCTTAAAGATTTTTTAATTTAGCGCATCATTTTCTTGCTGGCGCGTTGCAACTAATAAACAATCTTTTAAATAACATTTCAGTTGGGCACGTGCACATACGCATATATTATAAATATAAAACAATTGAAGTTTATCACAGTGTGTGCATGTATGTATGAACACACACACACGAGTAAACAGCACCAGCAGCAGGAGAGAAGCCTTGCGCCGCGGTGGTGGTGCTGCCCAGCAGAGATGTAAACTAGCTTTCACCTGCAGGCCACTGAAGAGACAGCAGATGTCAATGGATGCATCAGATGTATCACAGAATCACAGAACCACAGAATGATTAGGGTTGGAAGGGACCTCAAAGATCATTTAGTTCCAACCCCCCTGCCATGGGCAGGGACACCCTCCACTACACCAGGTTGCCCAAAGTCTCATCCAACCTGGCCTTGAACACTGCCAGGGATGGGGCATCTACAACTTCTCTGGACAACCTGTGCCAGTGCCTCAGCACCCTCAGAGGGAAAAATTTCTTCCTTAGATCTAACCTAAATCTCCCCTCTTTCAGTTTAAAGCCATCGCCCCTTGTCCTATCACTACACATCCTTGTAAAAAGCCCCTCTCCAGCTTTCCTGTAGGCCCCCTCTAGGTACTGGAAAGCTGCTATAAGATCACCCCGGAGCCTTCTCTTCTCCAGGCTGAACAGCCCCAACTCCCTCAGCCTGTCTCCATAGCAGAGGTGCTCCAGCCCTTTGATCATCTTCGTGGCCTCCTCTGGACTCGCTCCAGCAGCTCCATGTCCTTCTTGTGCTGGGGACCCCAGAGCTGAAGGCAGCACTGCAGGGGGGGTCTCACGAGAGCAGAGTAGAGGGGAAGATGTTGTGTTAGCAGATGTTAATAGATAGACGTTAATTGGAGTCTCCATCACTAAGATGTTTCCTGCTGATCCCATTAAATTCTTGCCTACAAGACAAAAGACAGAGCCCTCCTTTGGCAGTCAGACCCTGCAGTCCTCCTCCATCCCCTGACTCACAGGCAGAAGGAGCAGCGCGGCCGTGAAGCTCTGGAGAGTCCCAGGCTACAAGGATAGCCTTGGTATGGCATGAACGGAAGGTGACTCCAGTCGCACCAGGCTGAGCTCGAGATACAGCCACAGGAACAACTGCAGCATAAAGCAATGCACTCGTGAGAGAAAGCCTGGGGCTTTTTCACACCTTCCAGGGGTATGTTTGCCTCATCAGGCTGTCTTCTATCCTTGGAAAAGGAGGGGACGCTGCAGAGTGGTGGTATCCTTCAATCGTCACTGGCCGATTTGATGCAGAAGCTACTGAATGAGTTTTAACTGCCACAGTTCCCAAGGGACAAGCTCTTGACATACACAAATCAGGATATATTTGGGTATTTCAGCAGAACGACCTGATTTGCACAAACTGAGGTATGAACACTATGGTTCACTAGATGTTCATTAGTTGCCAGTGCTCATCATGTTCCTTAAAAAACAAAAATCCAGTATATTAACTTTCCTGTTGTGAGGGCTGAGGGGGGAAAAAAAGAAAAAAAGAAACCAGCCCAAAACACACCTAAACACAAACTAAAAATCCCACCAAACCAAAAGTGGAATATTTTGCAGACATCTTGCTCAAAGCATCTTCTGTTTTCTTTTTCTGGAAAAATCTAACCCATTCTATCATCACTATTTCTAAAAATAACTGTCTTGATAAACAGATAATCAAAGGAATTTGTCATTAATCTTATACAGCTGCAGCAAATACACAACAGCATGGACCACGTTACTCTGGATTCAAGGAACAGCTCTTCTAGCTACAGTTTCCTGAAGAGCAATTTGATACAGCTACCCTCAAAACAACTTTGCACTCAGAAGGAGTCACACCAACAGAAGCACAGCCTTTGTGTGAAAAAAAAAAAAAAGAAAAAAAAAAATTGCTGTTAGAAGAGATTTCCATCAAGCATGTCCTTCTAGGATGCCAGGCCCTGACCCTGCAAGATGCACTATCCAGTTAGCCCCCAGTATATCATGGAGCCCCCCTGACAACAACATGATCTAACAAGTAGAAGCTGAACCTAGACAAACCCAAACAAGAAACACAAAACCTACAAAAGCACTTCTATTTTAGCAACTTGCCTCTGGCTACGATGGATTCTTTTACATGAAACCTTTAATATCAAGACTGGGAACCTTTCTAAAAGAGACTATCTAGGTCAGGAACAAGTTAGGGCCAGCATCAAGCAGGAAATTATGATGACTGTCATGATCCTTTGCCGTAAAACCAACCAACCAAAAAACTCAAACAACGTATGAAGGTGATGCAAGGGATCTCTGGCCAGACTCAGGAAGGGGTTTCAGAGCACTTAACAGGAATGAACAAAATACCTTACCTTGTTTACATCCAAATATTCTAACTTTGGCACTTCTGCTGTCTCCTGTTCCTCGCTGCTTCCTTCATCAATGTCACTGTCTTCGTCCTGCGTGGAGTCTCTCTTCTGCTCCACAGAGGAAGGTTTGGTGCCCTTTTTGTCAGGTTCCACGTCTCCTGGGTTCCCAGCCACGCTGGGCTTCTTTTGCTCGGCACCATCCTCACTGGGGAAAGTCTCCCCCGCCACGCTACAAGAAGGGCTGTCGATGCCACTGTCCCTGTTGGGAATTTTGCCATTACCGTTCAGTTCTGCAGTTGAGTCTTTACTGTCGAGCTCTCCGGAGGGCTCTTTGCTCACAGTCACAGCAGTGCAGTCCTCAGGGCTTTTGTTATCACCTATGCTTAGCTCTTTGATTTTCATGATGTCTGTGCTGGATAGATCCACGCTGCATGGGACGTCCGGCTCGTTTTCATCCGGTTCGCTTTTCTCGTTCGTGGAAGAGCCGCTGGAACCCACCACGTCGCAGTCACACGAGCTGGGTTGTTTGGATGAGTCCACGCCAGGTTCCATCTTAAGAGCTAAATTGAGCTGGTTTCTTTGAAGAATATGCACAGGTTGCCTGCAGACAAGGAGAAAGCACCACAGTAATTCACATTAACACTCAGAGGCTTCAAAAGTGCCCCAAAACAAAGAGGGCCTGATTATCATTCAGTTCAAGTTGCATTTCCTGCACCCTCGCTACAACCCTAGGAGGCAAGTGTGTGCACACGTAATAACATTTACCCAACGATTTCAGATACAAACACACCACCCTTAGCCATAAGTTTTTCTGAAATGGCACCACTAGAATCCTGGGCCTTTAACACTTCCCACGTTGCCTTGAGGAACAGTCTGGTTTGAAGGTTTGGAGAGGGAGGAATCATCTTTTAAATGATAAAAACCCATTTAGTTGTGGGTTCATTTAAACAGGAGCTCACGTTCTTCAACAGAACAAAGCCTGAGGGACAAGGTATTTTCTGCCAGAGAGAGGATGTTTTGGAAGCACAAGAAGGCACTACTTTTTCTTTCCAAAAGACACCTTACCACGTTCACCTAAGTGATAACACACTCCAAGGCACAGTACGGTGTCTCTGTCTCCATCTCCCTCTTTACGAAAAAAACCACTTAGCTCCATCAGACAGATTTAGTCTTCAGAGAAAGTCTTCATGTGTTTGTAAACCAATCTGGCTTTACAGCAAAATACATACATTTTATCCTATTTAATATATCCTAAAATTTCAGGGGAAACACTGTTCTCCACGATGTTGTTCCACAGTACATTGCAATTTCTCTCCCCTGCGTCCAAGAAGCAGGCTAACAGTGTGTCTGACGCTTATTGAATCTTAGACAGAAAACTAAATTATTTTATATCACAATAATCAAGTTTCTATAACGCTAAATCCAACCCTGACATTAAGTCAACTTACTGAAAGCAGACTCTGGGCTACTTGTTTCTGGTAGAACCCTTACCAAATCCAGCAGGTCTTAAGCTCCTTAAGAACAACTGTATGTTACAAACTAAAAGCTGCTGAAATACATGCTTTTACTAAAAAAAAAATAAAAAAATAAAAAAATTCATTGTGTAGTCAGTCAAGTTTTGCACTTCCAGTAGAAAACATCCCAAGAGGAGTTTCTACATGATAATTACAATTGTTTTCTATTATATTTTAAGCTAAAAATGGAGAAAAGGAAGACTAGAGCAGTTCTCACAAAGCCATATTTACCTAATACTTTCAAATTTCTCAATGAGTGTGTTGACTCCTGCTGATATTGGTATTTCTTCCTCTCCAGGTGCTAAGCTCCTCGACGACTTGGGATCAGCTGGCAATGGCCGAGAAGGTGCAGGAGGAATTCTTTCCTGCCCAGGTTTGAGATGGACAGGCTTAGGAGGTACTAATAAAAGAGAAGGGAAAAAACAGGACGATAAATCTCCATCTTCTTTATCCTAAACTGGGAACAAAATCCAAGCGCTCAGTGCAGAACGAGGGGTGTCCATTCTTCCACCATCCTTTATGAACTGCACAGGTGCAGTCCCAAAGTATTTCCCACACCAAAGCAAGCTGCTGTGCGCTCCAGCAAAATGATGGGCTTCTGTTTTGTATTTCTACAGCCGTATCAGACGTGTTAACAAAGCCAGTGGCTCGCAGAACTTCACCGCTTCCTTGTTACTCAAACAGGATGCACAGCTCACACTTTTTTTTTGCAAACGTGCTCACCCTCTCAATCATATTAACGAGCTTCCCCTCCCATGACTTTTCAAAACTCAGGCAATCTGTTGAATGTCTTATACTGGGAAAAAAAACCCCAAACCAACCCAAACCCAACCACGAGAAAACAATCCCACCATGGAGTTCAGTGCCTTGTGTTTGCTTGGTCAAAAACACCGCAGGCAGAACATAACAGCTTTTCTTCCTTTCCTTCTCCCTCCCCCATCTCTTCTGTGGTGTAGTCTTCATAAATTTCCTTCCTCTTTTGGTTCTACGTTGAGTTACATATGATATAAATAAAACACACGTTGTAAGAACGTGTATGTTCTGCTTAAGGATCTCTGGGAGGTGAAGGCACCAAGTTTAACACAGTATTTAAGAAAAAAAGTAGCATCATTTAAACGTAACGTAATTTTTAAAGATTTATTCAGACTTTATACTGATTGCAGAGTAAAAAGGTTTGGAAATACGCAAGCAGTCACCCATGGCAACAGGTTCACGTGCTGCTGTAGTTCCACACCGTGAAAGCAACCTCCCCTCGGCAGCGCTGATGCCAGCAGGCAGGAAAGCCGACTGCGCGCTCACCCCCAAACCCTGCGCTACTTACGGCGGCGCTCCAAGCATTCTCTCCGGTCTAGATTATTCCAAAAGTTTACATATTAAATGAGAAAACTTTAAATATGTGTTTTGTTAAACAACATTTTCAAGTACAATTTATTCAATTTATTTCAAGCATTTCTGCTTTTCAAACGGCCCATATGACACCTCAGCATAACGTGAGTAACGCTACAACAGAGCTTTCATTAGCAACTGTTCTGAATGGAATTTCGGGGTTACTTTCTTTAGGAGGCTAAACAGAGGCACCCAAAATAGCCACTGCCACTGGAATAGGCTGCCCAGGGAGGTGGTTGAGTCCCCATCCCTGGATGTGTTTAAGAATAGGGTGGATGATCTACTTAGGGATATGGTTTAATGGGGATTAGGGACGGCTGGACTCGATGATCTCTGAGGTCTTTTCCAACCTAGAAATCTATGAAATCTATGAAAAAGCCAACTCCTGCTGTCCCTACCCTGCAGCAGGCTCTGCATCTGTTCTAAGCATCTGTTCTAAGCTCCACGGCAGCCCAGATGCCCTCCTTGCTCCAGCGGATGAGGAGCTGCTATGGACAGCCGCTGTCTGAGGTCAGCGATGAAGGACTCTTAAAGAGTTCCTGGGCTCTGAGTATAGGTCAGATTTCAAACTACCTCCACTACTGAGCTTATTTCAGCACCAAAGAATAAAATCAAATCTTCTAAGGATTTGAGCTTTAATGGGACACTTCCTTTTTTCCTTAGGAAAAAATTTTTTACCATGAGAGTTGTAGAACACTGGAACAGGTTGCCCAGAGAGGTGGTGGATGCTCCATCCCTGGAGACGTTCAAGGCCCGGTTGGATGAGGCCCTGAGCAACCTGATCTAGTTGGAGATATCCCTGTTCCTTGCAGGGGGGTTGGACTAGATGACCTTTGAAGGTCCCTTCCAGCCCTAACGATTCTATGATTCTATGATTCTATGATTCTACAAAAGGACTGATTTGCCCAAGTCTCCAAAAACATCTGGAATTTCTGTCTCAAGATGAAGGTGTTATAGCCCAATTTTGAAAACACCACCATGAAACCCATCTGACCCAGGAATAACAGGTAAGCAGGCAAAGAAAATCATCCTGCCTATAAATGAGATGGTGGAGCTTAATGCTTTGTTCACCAGTTTTCACTAGTGCGCCGCGTGATCATTGAGCACCCGGCCACATTCCTCCTTGTAAAACCAAACCAAAACAACCTCAGAAAAAAAGTATCCACGCAGGCATCTGGCTCATCGAGTCCGAAAAGGCAAGCCTAGGCTCCTTGCAGAAGGTGCATAATGCCGCAGGCAGACAGGCCAGAGCCCACCCCACATCCCCTATCAGGCCCTCCATGGCTTCCGACTGCTCCACGACACTCCCAAGTTCACACTAACAGCCATGGGCGTCACTGCTGTCCATGTGAACGTTTTGTGTCCTTCCTGTTAGTGGGCTCGACCTCAAGCACCTGAGACAACACACTCCGCACCGGACAAAAAGGAAGGAGGAAAACACTTTTGTTGGTTCTGAATTTTTATTTTCTGAAATAATTTTGAGAAACGGAGACATCAGCGTGGAGGCAAAGCCACTGACCTTATCAAGCACTGCTTATGCAGCAAAATTTAAACCACACAAGATGTCTACTCCAGAGCTGACACAAAAAGCCCACATTCAGAATTTACAAGGAAGGCATTGCGTATCACAACGCACACTTTTAAACTCAAAACCGTTTTAGACTTCTAAGAAGAGTGAACGAAAGATCTGCACACTAAACCCAACCCACACTAGATGAGCTCATTTGTGTGTGCACCATCATCATCAGTACTAAATGAACAGTCAGCCCCAGAAAAAAAGAAGGTGCTGCTTTTAGGTAGAGATCCAGGATCCAAAGTGGGAGTCTCGGCAGAACTCCTGCCCACACTCCACGTTCCAGGAGTCCCGGCCCATGCAGGAACCAATGCTGCTATCTTTTTGGTCCAGGTCCCAGCCATGCAGCTTCCAGTGCCCATCCTGCACACAGACAAGTAAACTGGTGGAGAAAAGAAAGCAAGCCAGATGCACAGAAGAGATAGTAGTATCGTGGAGCAAGTTTCAGGTGGTGCCTGAAGGCTGAAGCCATGTGCTGAAACGGTATTTCCCCAGTTGTCCTTCTCCCAAAGGTTTTACAGAGCAGCCCACAGCTATTTGGAGGAGGCAGAAACCAAGACACAAAATCTTTCTTGAAGGAGGAACAAGAGAAACAACAAGAAGCAGCGGGACAGAGTTAGAAAAGAATCACAGAATGGTTAGGGTTGGAAGGGACCTCAAAGATCATCCAGTTCCAACCCCCCTGCCATGGGCAGGGACACCCTCCACTACACCAGGTTGCCCAAAGCCTCATCCAACCTGGCCTGGAACACTGCCAGGGATGGGGCAGCCACAGCTTCTCTGGGCAACCTGTTCCAGTGCCTCAGCAACTTCAAAGGGCAGAATTTCTTTCTTATCTCTAATAGAAATCTGCCCTCTTTCAGTTTAAATCCATCGCCCCTTGTCCTATCACTACTTGCCCTTATAAAACATCCTTCTCCAGCTTTCCTGTAGGCCCCCTTCAGGTACTGGAAGGCTGCTATAAGGTCTTCTTGGAGCCTTCTCTTCTCCAGGCCGAACAGCCCCAACTCTCTCAGCCTGCCATCACAGAAAAAGTTCATAGGAGAACCTCTTCTTTTCATAAGAGAAAGGCAAGGTTCAATACGTGGGAGAAGGTACAGCCCAGGCTTGACCCCGGGTCTGTAAAATTGCAGGGAATAAGGACCCTCCACTCAGTGCAAGATGAGCATCTCAGCCTTTGCATTATTTCAGCCCCCCAGCCCATGAACTCCTCTCCCACAAGTGCCTCCCCTACAGTAATGCAAACAGTCAACACACATTTATTAGCGACTTGATGGAAGCATTCCCATCGATCATCCCAGCGGTGGTGGGTGTTGCGACTCACTGGGAATGCTGGGAGGACCTAATGAAGAGAAACTTGAGTTGTGTGATTTGCACTTGGAGATTCACATACTTCAGTTAAGGTCCCTTGACAAGAAGAGACCTAAAAGAGCACACATGATGAAGGAGATTAGGAAGGGTTATTCCCTGGGAAGTGAACACACTCAGAAAACATGACCCAACAGCACAGCCTTGGGTGAGGACAGAGAGCTGCTCCTAAAGTCTCAGGTGGTGATGACAGCACGTTCCACTCAACCAGAAACAGGCTTTAATGAGGCACCCATGTAGCTCTAGGGAGAAGGCCTTGGGAAGAACGTTCTTGCAGAAAAATACCAACAAAAAAACGAGGAAAGGTTTATGTCTGCTGCAAGAAAACGCACCACACTGTCACAACTACTTTTTTGGGACATGGTCACCAAGAGGAAGCAAGGATGGTTTACAGGAAAAATGTCATCTTCAATACAGTCAATTTAATAAAAATGACTTTTTTTTTATTTTGGTGATTTCATTTTCTTGGAGAGGCATGAAGTGTTTTCCTTTCTTTTGGGTATACAACCCACATAGTAACAGGAGATCCATGAACTATATGAGGGAGAAAAGCCATTTCAAATCTACAAAGTCAACAGAATTGAAGAGAAAAAAGACTGTACTATCTTCCCTTCCTGGCAAAGTATCACATGTATTGTTCTCGACTGTCATATGTCAGTTAATTGCAGATACTTTATAAAAGTAGTTTTATTATAAAGAAGTGAAATAATAAAACCATTATTGAAAATTTATGACAAGTAAGTGTCTTTCAGGAAGATGACTGGCACATCCATGCTCAAGACTTGTCACGCTGATTGGTAGCTTTGGCTGACCTGGCTCGGTCTGAGACAACATCAGACAGTCTGATTCTTGAGTACCGGGTACCATGTAACAGTCTCGCATGGGAATTTTCACTGGGACTCCTGTTTCTTCTCGGACTACTTTTATAGTGACATCAAGAAGCCCAACAAACTGAGCTCTGTCAAAAAAAGCATTAGCAAGGGTAACTAGTCAAGAAAGCATTTAACCTTCAGGTGTTTATTTCACCTCATTAACAAATTTCCATCCTTTTCAGAGCAACACCCAGCCAGTAAGATACACTGGCTTTGGTTCTGAGCTTATGGCTGTAATGGGAGAGAGAGCTTGGATGTGTGCGAGCCACGGAAAGAAGTAGTATCTGTCTCAATGATGGAAATGGATGACACAGATCTACTTGGGCAACCTTCAAGCATGATTTGG